CATCACGTCTCATAGTGGGGCTGGCCATGTGGTCCTCTCTGTGGACTGGCTGCTCTATTTGGGGTCATCGTCCTTTTTTTTAAGGCCTGGTGGGCCAGGATGTGCTCCAGTCTCTCCTCCTCCCCCATCATCTGTTCCTGTGTGCTCTGGTCAGATACATCCTTCTCCCGGAGCTGCAGATTCAGTGCCATCCTTTGAGATAAATTCTTCTCGGGGGAGGGGCAAGCATCCACTTAGTATTTGGGTGGGACCAGCCCCCAGATCTAGGGATTTTATGGAGTTGAAGAAGCTGGGAAATCTATCTACAGCGCGACCCTCCTGCCTCTGAGCCTTCACATAAGCTGTGCCCACTGCCTGGAACACGTTTCTCCCTTCTGTTCTTCCCTGGGCTAATACCTGTTTATCCTTCCTTGTCTGTCAGCCTCGCCTTCTCAAGAAACCCTTCCCTGCCCCCCCTGAGCCTGAGTCAGGGACCCTGCAGGGGTTCCCATACCCCAAGCACTCGCTTAGCCCCAGCAGTGACCAAGCAGTATTATCTGTGCCTGTTCTGCAGCACGTGTGCCTCTGTAATAAACTGTAGGATCGCACGCTGAGCAATTCCCTTCGGCAGCCACAAGACTGAGTACAGCCCAGAGCCGACACCCAATAGCTATGAGTTTGAACAGATGGGTGGGCTCCAGGTGAAGGACCGGCTGAGGCCAGAGGCAAAGGCCGCTAAGGCACGTTCCTGTGGTAGAAACAGGTTCCGCAGTACCCAGAGGTCGGTGCTCAGCCCATAGCTATGTGAGCTCGTGAGAGATCAGTCGGTCATTCTCAGAGCCCTGTCCTGTTAGATGCCTGACCTCTAACCCAAAGGTTGGCAGGTTGAGCCCGCTCAGTGGCACACGGAAGAAAGGCCTGGTGACCTAGGTCCGTAAAGATTACAGCCAAGCTGACCCTGTGAAAGCACTTCTCCTCTGTAACACACAGGGTCTCCTTGAGTCCGAGTGGAATTGGCTTGGCGGCGATGGGTTTGGCTTTTTCTGGACAGTTAGAGAGTGAAGGCACCATGGGGTGGGGGTTGGGAGACAAGCTGGGGGGGTGTCATTCCAGTCAGAGCTCTGCCTCCCCTCCCCCCCCCAACCCCTCGCCCCCACCAAACAGAGAAGCCCTGCTTTTATCATGCTGTGTTTGTGCTTCTCAGCAGGGTTTTGTTTAAAAACCTTGTTCTCTGGGTGAAAATGAGTGAGAGGCAGGTACATTGAAACCCACTGCTTCATTCCCATGCCCTCATCCTGCTGATGAGAAACAAGAATCCAAGGAGGGAAGAGAACCTTCCCAAGGTCCCCCGGCTCAGTATCAGGGTACACAGACAGACGGGATGCGGAGCCTGGAGTGCCGGTCTTTCCAGAGGGAGGGAAGGAGAGCAGGGAGTGAGCCGTGGAGGGCCTGTTGGCAGGCTGAGGCAGAGAGGGAGAGACTTGGCCTCACGTACTTGGGACATGTCATCAGGAGAGACAAGTCTCTGGAGAAGGACACCATGCTAGGTAGGGTGGAGGGGCAGAGAAAGCGAGGGAGGCCTTCACCAAGACCAACTGACCCAGTGGCTGCACCCAGGGGCTCAGGCACAGGAGCAATGGTGAGGGTGGCACAGGGCTGGGCGGGGTTTGGTCTGCTGTGCACGGGCCGCAATGGATCGGGAAGGCAACTGATGACCATGAAACCACCCAGCAGACTGAGCGGGCCCTGGGTCATCAGCTGCGTGTGTGCACACACACATACACACACGCACACACAGCACTCACCCTCAGCAGCCAATCCCTGTCCAATCCTGCCCCCTGGCCCTGACTAACTGTCCCTGGCACTGTTGTTTCTTTAGGCCATGGAGGTCTGAACCAGCTGGGAGGGGCTTTTGTGAATGGCCGACCCCTGCCAGAAGTGGTGCGCCAACGTATCGTAGACCTGGCCCACCAGGGTGTACGGCCCTGTGACATCTCCCGGCAGCTCCGCGTCAGCCATGGCTGCGTCAGCAAGATCCTTGGCAGGTAAGCACGAAATTCACCCCAAATGCCACCTCCCCACAGGGTTTTCCTTGCAGCCAAGCTCCCCCTATGGAACTCAAGGTCAGCTCCCTAAAGTCCAGATTTGGGGCCGGGACCTGAACAGGATGTTCTGCTGTTTGGGGGCCTCATGCTTTCTCAGGCATTTCTACCACCCACCCCTCCCTGCATCTCCTTTCATTCTTATCCTTCTTGCCTTCACTGTCCACTTCTCTTTCCTCTGTCCATCTCCCCTTCCTTCCAGCACCCCTTCTCATTTTCTATAGGCTTCTCTGCAGCTGAAGCAAGAGAAACTTACCTTTTATGTCCCCAAGACCCAGCCCCTGCTGAAATCCAGGGAAGTGGACCGCAGCGAAGGAATACACCCGGGTCTAGGCCCTACACAGAGGTGGTCCGAATATGTGCTTCTCAAGCCATACATTGCAGGAGGCATATCTGCATGCTGTGTTGGTGGTGGTAGGAGCAGGTGACATGTATAAACCCTAAGGATTGAGAGGCACTGGTGACAAGTGATTCACAGCTCTGGCTGCACATTGGACTCACTCAGAAAGTCCCAGCTACAATGAACACCAGTTCCTATCTAGATCCCACCCTATATCATTACATCACCTCCTCGGGAGAATGTATCCAAGTATTGTTATGTTTTGTAACACACACACACACACACACACACACCTAGTTGGAGCCCTGGTGACAAGGGGTTAAAGTGCTCATCTGTGAACTAAAAACCAACAATTTGCATGCGCCAATCACTCCTTGGGAGAAAGAGGTGGCTGGCTGCTTCTGTCAAGCTTTACAACCTTCGAAACCCTGGGGGGCAGTTCGGCTCCACTGGTGAGGTTGCTATGAGCTGGAACCAACCCGAGAGCCACGGACTTTGGGTTTGGGAATCTATTCCAACACGCAACCAGAGTTCAGAGCCACTGTCACAAGAGTTCAGCAGGGACCCAGGGCAGCAAATCCACCTCTGTGCCGAAGGAGCCACACATCCTAAACTTGAGAGCCACTTCCAGCGGAAACGTCCCTGCCCCTAGGATAACTCAGTGCATGATCCCTCCACCAATTTGTTGATGGATTTGCCAGGAGCTCTGGTTTGACCCGACAGAGAGGTGGGAAGTATGATTGAACCTTGGAAAGCTCTGGCTGCTTGAGTGGCGTTGTCAGAGAACAGCAAGCTTCTCTGTAAGGGTCAGGAGAGGGGAGTCCTGAGATACGCTGTGGTGTTCCAAAAAGAAAGGCTGAGCCCTGGCTGGGAGAGACGAGTGAATGGAGTTTTTAAAGAGCCAGACTTCTCCCCCATGTCAAAAGAAACGCGAGTGTTTCCACAATAAGCCAGGAAGGATGTCTGTCAAATCAGCTAGTTGGCCCAGGTAGAGAGCCAGCGGGACAACGTAGACACCCTGGAAGAGGGACTCAGTCTAAGGAACAGGCCCTGGCCAGGGATAAGAGTCAGGCAGCCCCTGACTGGAACCAAATCGCCATGTAGAAAAGAGTCGTGTTGATGGTGGTGGAGGTGGCGGGGAGGGCTGTGACTCTCCTGGACAAAGCAGAAAAGAAAGGTACCAGCAAGACAGGGCAGAGGGCCCAGGGACCTCAGCCCACTTCCTGAAGCAGCTGCACAACCAGGAGGGCCAAGGAGAATAGAGTGAGGTTGAGTCCAGAGAAGCTTGCTCAAAAAAACCACTGCGGACCTATTGTTCCCATGGAGAACTGTCCTAAGTCCTTCCCTGGAAAGGACGATCTTCCGTGGCCCATTAGATGGCTCCTGCAGGGGTTCTGCTCTAGTAGATGGGCTGGAGAGGGGGCTGGAGAGAAGCCAGGGATCCTAGGGTGAGGTCTTTAGCAAAGGGTTCCCATTGAGCAGAAGGATGAACCCACCCAAGCAAGGAAAAGCAGACCGTCCTGGGAACACCAGGTGTTTGAGGCCAGCCTTGGGGGCACATGTAACCCCTACATGTGTCCCCACAACAGAAGCCTCCGAGGGGAACATGTGTCTGGGATTCCATTCCCGTCCAAAGACCCCACCTATTTATTGGGTAATTCTTTGGGGTTCTCTATTGGAGTAGGTACTACGAGACTGGCAGCATCCGACCTGGAGTGATAGGGGGTTCCAAGCCCAAGGTGGCCACCCCGAAAGTGGTGGAGAAGATTGGGGACTACAAGCGGCAGAACCCTACCATGTTTGCATGGGAGATCCGAGACCGGCTGCTGGCCGAGGGTGTGTGCGACAATGACACTGTGCCCAGCGTCAGCTCTATCAACAGGTGAGCAGGGGAGCCGACCCAGGGGCCAGCGTGGGCGGAGTGGGGCTGGCAAAGCAGATTGGCTCTGAAGAAAGGGAATCCTGACAAATACCATCCCCACCTGCCGCCGCACCTGTCCCATCCTCTGGGCATCTTCTCCTCGCTCCCCCTATAAAGCTTCTGAACACATCAACTCTCCTTGCATTCAGTAAAAGTCTCCCGAAGTTGATGGCTTCCTTAGCCCTGAGACCCCTAACATGGACTTCACTCAAGCATTCACGCATGTGTTTCGTTGTTCAATGATTCATTCCTTATCTGCATCCATCAGCTACTCATTCATTCATTCCTACAGGTATGGTCAGCATCATTCGTTCCTTAGGAGTTCAGCCCTTTCCTTACAGAGCCATCGTCTAATGAGAAGATAGGCATTAGCCAAGTAGCCACACCGACCGTTGTAAAAGTACAACTCTGGGGTCTGCGAGTTCTCAGAGAGTGGTTAGCTTCGGGGATTTATGAAAGGTTCTCGCTGAGGAAGACATCATTAGCAAGCATTGACTAGGGGGGAAAGAAAGGGGAAAGGCCTCTGGGTAGAAGAAATAGCACCTTCCAAGGCTCGGTGGCTAACAGGCATGTTCATGAAAGCTGAGAGATGCTAGTGGAGGCTGCCCTTCCAGAATATACCTTGATGCCTGTTTTTTGCCTTCAACTTACGAGCAAAGGAAGTCTTTGACAAGTGTTAAGCAGGAATCGGACTTGCGTTACAGAGATGCCACTGCAGTCGGGACCCTAGATTAGAACGGGGTAAGAGTGAATGAGGCTGGACTGAAGAATGATGCTGGAAAGAGAAAGCTGGTGGTGCCACCAATTATGCTGTTGGCAGAAAGACGGAGAGTGGAGCTAACTGTTGGCAAGGGTTAGCAGGTCAAATGCATCGAATGAGGCTGGGTGCATTAAGAACCTGAGGATGTGGAGGACATAGCCCCCCTGCATTTCTGCCTTGAGTGCCAATCTTTAAATGGAGACAATGGGGAGAACCCGGAGGGAGGAGGAAGGTCATGGGTTTGGTCTTGGGCTGGTTGGGTTTGAGATACCCGCGTGAGAGTTTGGAGACAACCGAGTGCTGTCTCTTCCTCTTCTCTCTGACAAGCTTGTTTCTTCTTCACAGAATCATCCGGACCAAAGTGCAGCAACCCTTTAACCTCCCCATGGACAGCTGTGTGGCCACCAAGTCCCTGAGTCCCGGACACACACTGAGTGAGTGTCTCCTGAACCCACCTGCCTGCACACATATGCCCCCACACATACGCAGAATCGCACACCAACATACCCACACTTACACACCCATGCCACTGTCCCATGGGTACAAAGGCTTGCCTGGGGCCCAGGGAAGGTTCTAGAGGGATGAAGCAATATTCAGTGGTAGGCAAACTTCAGACACTGTTGATTCCAAGACTCCCTGCCACCACTGGTCCCTGGAAGGAACGGCCTTCCTTTGAGGTCAACTCTTCACAGGTTGCTAACTGCCTCCTACACAGGGGAAGCTGGGGCTTTGGGACAGAGAGGGTGCTTCCCTCCCTCCCACAGTCCTGACCCTCTGCCTCTCACCCCTGCAGTCCCCAGCTCAGCGGTAACACCCCCGGAATCACCACAGTCCGATTCCCTGGGCTCCACCTATTCCATCAACGGGCTCCTGGGGATTGCTCAGCCTGGCAGCGACAACAAGAGAAAAATGGATGACAGTGAGTGTCGAGGGGATGAGGGAGAGGTTTCAGGGGGAGAAGGGCAGCTGTGGAGGCTTGAGGAGACGCAGGCCCCTCTCATGGCCAGGACTTGGTCATGGCTCTGTGACTCCAGAGCCCAGAGTGGCATGGCCTGTCCAAGGCAGCCACAGTCCCTGAGGGCCGGGAGCCTAGCTCCGTCTGCTCTTTCACGCCAGTGTCACTGTATAGAGCCTGGAAGCAGGGCATAGGGAGGTGGGTCCCACTGAGAGATCTCTCCTCCTTGGGGCACCAGGCGACCAGGACAGCTGTCGACTGAGCGCCGACTCCCAGAACAGCAGCAGCGGGCCCCGAAAACACCTTCGAACAGACACCTTCAGCCAGCACCATCTTGACCCCATCGAGTGCCCGTTCGACAGGCAGCACTACCCAGAGGCCTATGCCTCTCCCAGCCACACCAAAGGCGAGCAGGTGAGACGCTGGATCCATGGGGTGCGGGGCAGGGTCTGCAGTCTAGTGGGCTCCCTCTGTAAGGTCCATAAGCAGCCTGCAACGAGGCCAGCCCAGAAGTTGTCTCCTTGGGCTCAAGCCAGTGGTAGGTGCAGCACCAAACCTGGCCAGGCGCTTCATCTTATCCACAGTCCCATACCCACTTCCCTCTCCTCCCAGTCCTCCTTCCCCCTCCACCCAAGACCTTGGAGCCTGGTCCCTTTCCTTTCAGCACAGCCTAGTCATGCTGCCCCCTTGCCACCAGTGCCCCACCCCTGTCCCCAAGTGTGGGGCTGCGTCCCACCTGTAAATCGGCAGCACAAAGCCCAGCCACAGGGCCTCAGTCAACATTCTGTGCCTCACCTCCGACCGCTCGCTGGCATTAGTCATGCCTGTGAACATGCCAACCTCATCCACACCTCTGCCCTCACCCATGGGGTGTCCTATTCACCAAATGCCTTTCCTCCCACCTCTCGGCCTGGAAAAATACCACCTGACCATCATGACTCAGCTCAGACCTAACAGCCCCACTCCAGGAATCCTGCCCTGGCCGGCAGGCAGAAGGCAGCTCTCCTGCTCTGTGCTGCTGCAGTCTGCCCGGCCCCACGCAGTCACGCCCTGGCACAGGGCATTGCCATCATCTGAACAGAGGTGCAAAGAGACATCGGGGTTCTTAGGACAGGCCAGCGTCATCAACGTTCAACTATACTCATCCAAGCCTCTCAGCCAAACCAGTTGGCATTAAGCTGATTCCCACTCACCGCAGGCCCGCTGTGTTCCAAGTAGAACCACTCTCTGGAGGGCTTTCATGGCTGTAACCTTACAGGCAGCCAGACTTCTCTTCTGAGGTGCCTCGGGTGGGCTCGAATCATCAACATTTCCATTAGGAGTCATGAGCTCCACCCTGCGACGCCTCCAGGTATAATAAACCCACTGCTATCGAGTTGATTTCGACTCTGTAGGAGAGAGTAGAACTGTCCCTGTGGGTTTCTTTATGGGAGCAGAGAAGAGCAGACAGCCTCAGCTTTCTTCCGAAGAGCGGCTGCTGGGTTTGAACTGCTGATTTGGGGGCTGAGCAGCCCAGAGCAAAACCCACTACCAATGAGGACTCAACAAAGTTGTATGAAATGATGAGTCAAGAAATCAAGGACAAGCAATTGCCAGCCTTAAGGGAATGCTTATTCCCAATGCTCAGGATGGGCGGAATGGATGTTTGAGCTGCTCTGAGAATTCAGCCCGATGTCGGTGGCCCACGCTGAGCCCAACAGAAGGGAAATTCTACAGCCACTGGTCTCTTGGTTCCTTAGGATCAGCCAGCATTCTTAGTTTCTCCCTCCCCCTCACCCCACCAACTCAACTGCTTGAGAAGTCTCTTTAGGGTTCTGCTCACCCCTAACTTTGCTCATTCTCGGAGTGACATAGGCCCGTGTGCCTTTAAGACCTGAGTAAGACAATAGCAGCGGTGCCAGGAACCAGCTGAACCATTGCCAGTGACTGTCTGGGCCCCTGGGCCCCTGCCAGCACCTGCAGTTGGGCAGGCAATCTGCGTCAGCGATTTTATCGGCCTGCGCTGTGGCAACCATGAGGGGTGCGGAGAAAGGCAGGTGTCAGCAGCTCAGGCTGGTGAGCTTGGGAGCTCAGCAGCGGTCATATGGCTCCAGGAGAGAAGTGGGACCTCGATGGTGGGAAGCGCGGGGCAAGGGCCACAGGAGAGGGGGCTTTAGGGAGTCACAGTGTGAGAGTGAGCTGCAAAGCCAAGTAAGGCGTACCCAAAGTCACCCCACTGCGATCAAGTCGATTCCGACTCAGAGGGGCCCTATAGGACAGGGTACAATTGCCCCTCTGAGTTCCTGAGACTATAGTTCATTATGAGAGTAGAAAGTTTTATCGTTCTCCTGAGGAGCAGCTGGTAGTTTTGAACTGCTGACCTTGCAGTTAGCAGGCAGCCCAATGCAGAATCACTACAGCACCAGCCACCCGGCAGAGTTCACCACCACCACCACCACCCTGTCATGGAGTTCCCAGACACGTGCTGTGTCATAAAGCCTTTTCCCAGACCTGGCTGTATTCCTGGGCTCCCTGGTGGGGGGGCACAGGGGGGCTTTGTGCTGACAAGGAAGCCAGCACCACATGGCATGCACTGGGGAGCCCTAGAATGAGGGAGTCTGAGAGCTGGAGGGCACGTCGGTGACCACGTAGTCCAGTTTTTCCAGCTGTGCGGACTTTGCCCAGGACCAGAGAGGTTCAGGGGGGCGGGGACAAGCAGACTGTTAAGGCATTCAGGCCTCTGCCAGCCTCCCTGGTTTCCTCCCAACAGGCCACTCTAATCTCGGTTTCTGTAGTCTGCTTCTAGGTATGTTCTTTGGAGAGTGTGTGTGTACAGACAAAGATATGAGACGCATTGAACTGCTCCAATCCCTCAGCCCACAGATGAGGAGACTGGGGTCCAGCCCGTCCGTCATGAGTGTCATTGTCGTTAGTTGCTGTTGAGTCCCATTTGGACTCACTGCAACCCCATGTGTCACATGGCAGAACAGCTGCATGGGGTTTTCCTGCCTGTAATCCTAACGGAAGCACGCTGTGAGGCCTTTCTTCCACGGCACCAGTAGATGAGTTTGAGCCATCAACCTCTAGGTTTGTGCTGTTTTACAAACCTAGGTTTGTGCTAGGTTTACAGTTGAGTGTCAGCCGTTTATAAGGTCTACGGCCCTTCCCTCAGTGATTCATTCACTCCGCAGCCGATCATCAGGCTTCATTCATTCACTCATTTGACCTGGCTCCTTAGGAGGGAAAGAGAGGGGCCAGCTTGTGCCCAGGGCCCCTCCTGCTTGCCTTTGTTGCCACTCGTCACACTGACTTCTCTCGCCAACTCAGCAGTCCTCGTCCTCCGCGTGGGCTTGGGCAGCCGAGAGGGAGCCCAGGTGTGCATCCTTGCCTTTAGATGGGACCAACACAGTCATCTTTTATATACAAACAAGCAAGGAAGTGTTGGATGGAAAGATTCTATGGCCTGCTCCTAGGGAGTCCTTTACCACCGGGCTTAGGTGGCACTCGACACAGCTCTCTTCCAACTGTGAACAGTATGGTGCCCAGAAACAAAAGCTCGCACTGCCGCCAGAGTGCCTCGGGCTCCCAGGACTGTGCATCTTTACGGGAGTGGACAGCCTCCCCTGTCTCTGGGCAGTCAGCAAGGCGCTGGAGCCACCCATCTGACAGTTAGCAGCCCAATCGATGCCTCCTAACTCACAATGCCGCCAGGGCTCCTGATTACCATGCCAGCACCCAAGAATGGGCAGCTTCGGACACATCACACGGGAGCCCTGTGGTGTAAGGTTACTCAGTGTTGGCCTGTGATCGGCAGGTAGAAACCACCGGCAGCTCTGAGGAAGAGAGATGGGGCTTTCTCGTCCCATCTAGAGTTGTGGTCACAGAAACCCACAGGGGCAGTTCTGCCCCGTCCTTATTGGGTCACTCTTGAGGCAGAATGGGCTCCATGGCAGTGAGCATGCCACACTACCCCAGCTCCCCAACTGAAGACCAGCTCTAGTGGGAGTGGGGGAGCAAAAGCAATCACGTGAGCGTTTCAGCTGGTCCTGGCAGCATCACCAGAGTGTTCAACTATTTAGATTGTTTTGTTTCTCACTTAATTGACTGAATGAACTCCAGTGGCCCTGTGGAATGAGTGTTGGGCTACTAACCACAAGGTCAGGTGGTTCAAACCCACCAGCCACTCCTCAGGAGAAAGACGAGGCTCTCTGCTACCATAAAGTTGTATACTGTCAGGGGCCCCATCTCGATGGCCCTGGGGTGGGTTTTTCACAGGATTTTGCATAGATGACGTTGGTGTCGAATCGAGGGATTCATATGGCATCTGACGCTTTTCTTGCCCTCTCTCAAAATCAGGCAAAAAGCTTTGTTCAATCTCATTAAGCTGAGTTCTGAGTAACTCCACCCTGCCTCGAAGTGGGCCCCCTTGGCAGGCACGGAACCAGGGCCCCATTTAGTTAGTAATTGCCGCTGTGAGATAATGGTGCCCTGGTGGCCATCAGAATTGACTGGCGCTTCCAAAAGTGCCTGCCATGCAACTGGAAAGTGCTGTGGCTCCTTAGAGAACCCGGCTCCTCCATGGAAATCAGGAAAGACAACTGCCCTGGCGATGTGGTTACATAAGAGTGGGGCAGCCTTGCTAGTGCAGAGCATGTGTGTGCTGTGGGGCCCGTGTGCCTGTGCGTGCTGTACAGCAAGAAGAATCCTGGTGAGGATGGTGTCCACTTGCCCTTGAAGGCAACACGTTCTTTATGGCAAGAGCGCCGCCCGAGGAGGAGACAGCGGTGCCAATGCTGGAGAAGGCCAATGGGAACGTCCAATGCGGTCGTCTTGACCGAACTCCCCGGAAATTCATGAAGTGCCTTTGCAAGTAGAAGTGTCCCCGTCCCCCACTCCCCACCCGTATCAACATCAAGCAGAACCTGCAAGTCGGGTGTTTGCTTGGGGTGAAGAGAGAGAAGAGCAAATCCACCGATGCTGATGGGGTGTCCCCTTGGCCTGAAGGTGATGCTGACGGTTCTGAAGGGCTGGGTTTGGGGAGGCATGAGAAGCACGCTGCCGGCGTCTGAATCTGGGTTGCCCCGTATGGAAGCATGACAGTGTCTTCACTTCTCTGTGCCTCGGGTCCCCCTCTGGAGAGGATTGAATTCACTGAGGTGGGTGACGCGCTCTGTGTGCGCAGACGCCATCGTGTGCTCTGTGGGGCCAAACGGTGTGCAGGAGACAAGGAAGGAGCCATCATTCCCACCGTGGCTTGTTCCTCCGATGGAATCAGTCGCTCTGCGCACCCCCCAGGCTGGGCGTGCGTTCCACCGGCCGCACAGCATTCCCAGACAGAGAGGGGGAAGCCCTGGGCCTGGGCTCAGTAGCTGAAGAGGAGAGAGCTGTGAGCTGGAGAAGAACTTCGTCAACCTGCCCGGTGAAGTCCAGAACCAGAGAGAAAGACATGGGACGAGGAGGAGAGAGAGGGCTGCAGGGTCTCTCTCTGGAAAGACTGGTTTGCCCCGTAGGGGGGTGGGGAGGGTCACCCAAAGGGGGACCTGCTGCGAGCCTGATGTCTCTTTCCTCTGCAGGGCCTCTACCCACTGCCCTTGCTCAACAGCGCCCTGGATGACGGGAAGGCCACGCTGACCCCTTCCAATGCCCCCTTGGGGCGCAACCTCTCCACTCACCAGACGTATTCTGTGGTGGCAGGTATGGAGGCCAGAATGCCCTGGGTCCTCTGGACTCAGCTGTGAGCGCCGGCTAGAGACCTGCGGGGTGGGGGGTGGGGGGCAGAGCTTGGCAGGCTGTGAGGAAGGTGTCTGGGGCCCTGGGCTTGTGAGGAGACAAACAGATGTGGGCTGTGCTGGCTGGGCCTCCAGGTGGGTCATGAGGGTCACACCAACGCCTGGCTAGCTCGCTCAGTGGGGAGAGGGGCACACTTAGTCTCACACAGTCACTAGGTCTGCACAGTAGAAGGCATGGCAGGGAGGTAAAGCCGAACTCTCGCCCCTCCTGCTCCCCACCCC